AGTGTTACAGCTCTTGACCAGGGAAAGAACTGAGCGGCACACTAAGAGTCAGAGAACAGTCTATTCTTCCACAGCAGGCTCAGCACTCCTAGTGTTACAGCTCTCTTTGTGTCTTCCGATATTCTGACCCTTCTGCCTCCTTCCTTGGTCTCCTCCTGCTTTTATACCCTTGGTAGGGCTCAAAAAACATCCAATCAACTACAAGCTTTAACGTCCAATCAACATCAAGCTTTAACATCCAATCAACAACAAGGTTTAACATCTAATCAAAAACAGTGGGATTCAAAAATTACCAATCAGGATCATGCAAGCAGCGTGGCTGGAAACAGGCAGCGGCATGCGGGCCTGGGGGCGTTCAGGCACTCAGGCCAGGGGCTCTCTGCCAGAGGGCCCAGCCCCAGCAGCGTGCCCTCCAACTGGCCATGTGCAGTACTGGCCCTCGGAGATGCGGAGCGATGGGGAATTGGCAAGCAGCTGCCTTATCAGGTTTCCTTATCAAACGTGCAAAAGTTACAGCCACAGTGCATGATAAGTGCTTAGTTAAGATGGAAAAGGCATTAAATTTGTGGGTGGAAAACATGAACAGAAACATGTTCAGATTGACAGCAATCGGGTTTGGGGGTCTCTGGCATCCACAGAGGTCCTCAAACCAATCCCCCATAGATATGGAGGGCTGATTGTATACATACAAATACAATAGATTTTTGTATTTTGGTCTTGTATCCTGTAGTCTTGTTGAATTATTATAACTTAATAGTTCTATGAGTTTTTTGGGTGAATTTCTTGACACCTTGTTAAGAAATTTTGTGTCTATGTTCAGAGAGATATTGGTCCGTAGTTTTCATTTTTTGGTACTCTAGGTATCAAGGTTGTACTAGCTCATAAAACGATTTGGGAAAATGTTCCCTTCTTTTATTTTTTGGAAGAGGTTGTATAAAATTGCTGTTAATTCCTGCTTTAAAAATTTGGTAGAATTTTCCAGTGAAACCATCTAGACCTGGAGATTTCTTTTTTGGGAGTGTTAAAATTACAAATTCAATTTTCTTAAAGAAAAATTTCTTAACTGAATTTTCATTCAGTAGTTCAATGTATTTTTTTAAATTTTCCATGAGATTTCATCTTTGAGTCATGGATTATTTAGGAGAGTGTTGCTTAGTTTTCAAGTATTTGGATAATTTCCTGTTATCTTTCTTTCTTTCTTTAATTCTTTTTTTGAGACAGACAGTCTTACTCTGTCACCCAGGCCAGAGTGTAACATCATAGCTCACTGCAACCTCAAACTCCTCAGCTCAAGGGATCCTCCTTCCTTAGCCTCCCGAGTAGCTAGGGCTATAGGCACATGCCATAACACCTGGCTAAATTTTAAAAATTTTTGTAGAGGCCGGGCGCGGTGGCTCATGCCTGTAATCCTAGCTCTTGGGAGGCCGAGGCGGGCGGATTGCTCAAGGTCAGGAGTTCAAAACCAGCCTGAATAAGAGCGAGACCCCGTCTCTACTATAAATAGAAATAAATTAATTGGCCAACTGATATATATATATAAAAAAAAAAATTAGCCGGGCATGGTGGCGCATGCCTGTAGTCCCAGCTACTCGGGAGGCTGAGGCAGAAGGATCGCTTGAGCCAGGAGTTTGAGGTTGCTGTGAGCGAGGCTGACGCCACGGCACTCACTCTAGCCTGGACAACAAAGTGAGACTCTGTCTCAAAAAAAAAAAAAAATTTTTGTAGAGACGGGATCTTGCAGTGGTTGCCAAGGCTGGTTTCAAACTCTTGGCCTCAAGCAGTCCTCCTGTCTCAGTCTCCCCTACAGGCGTGAGCCACCACCTCTGGCACCCTGTTATCTTTCTATTACTGATTTCTAGTTTGATTTCATTATGGACAGAAAAAATACTATATATGATTTCAGTTCTTTTAAATTTGTTGAAGTTTATGTTATGATTCAAGATATAGTCTGTCTTGGTATATGTTCTGTGGCTACTTGAAAAGAATATGTATTTTGCTATTATTGGATGGTATGTTCTATAAATGTCAATTACATTCTATTGGTATTGTTGAATTCTCATATATTCTTGCTGATTCTCTGTCTGGTTGTCCTATTAATTGTTAAGAGAAAGGCTGCGATCGCCAACTCTATGGACTCCACTGACACTGTGAGGGGGTGGCCTCATTATTGCTGAGCAGTGGTGAAAGTCCTGACTCTACCAGGCTTCTGCTGATAATACCCCAGCAGAGAAGGGCATGGGTACGTCAATACTGCTGGGTGGAAGTGAAGGGCAAGCTTCCTATATGGTCTCCACAGACACTGCAGGGGATTAGGTCTCTCTATCACTTGGTGGGGATGAAAGTCCTGACTCCCAGTTTGGCCTTCTCAGTCATCACCCTTGTGGGAAAGTTGAGGCACCTCTTATAGCAGTGAGAATGGAAGTCTTGGATCTCTACTCTGCCTTTGCTTGTGTGGGTGGAGCTGCAAGTTTTCTGTGTGGTACTAGGGTGGAGTAGAAGGGTTATTGTCTAAAAGTTTTTCTGGCTTATTGACTAGAGGGCTGGCTTTTTGGGGGGCTTGTTTTCTGTGCTCATTGGCGTTTCCAGGTTGCTGGCCCTCCCATACCTAGTCTGGGGTATATGAGACAACAGATAATCCACTGTTACTTAGCTCCCAAGGTCCTTAGGGATCTGCCACCTTTCTCTGCCTTTCAGAGTCTTTTTATATGTGTTTTCTATATAATGTCAAGGGTTTTTATGGGTACTTAGTAGGAAGAATAGGGATTAATATGTCTATTCCATCTTCCCAGAAGGAGAAGTCCATTAACCATTGATTTTTGAACTGGAATTTATGTTACCTACTCTTCTGGAGCTACCTTCCATCTATTAAACTACTCTAAAAGTTATCTTAATATTTAAGAATTGAACTCATTTGGTCCTATTTCTTTTTCTTTCTCTCTCATTAGTAGCTATAAATTTTCATGTTCCTATCACCTCACCTTCCTCTTTTCTTGCCAATGTCGATACTGCACCAAAGACATGAAAATATTCCATAAATATCATTTTGGAAAGATTTCTCGTTGCCTGAATTTTTAATTTATTAATGATTCTTTGACCAATAGGATTATATGTCACTTAAGTTAGATGTAAGAAAAAGATACGTAAATGGATCAGTTTCCTTCAAGTCTGTTCTGTAGACTGTCTACATCAGAATTGGAATATGCTTATTTAAAATGTATATCCTTGGGACTGCAAACTAGTTCAACCTCTGTGGAAGGCAATATGGTGATCCCTCAAAATGATACAAGTAGATCTACCATTTGATCCAACAATTCCACTACTGGGCATCTACCCAAAAGATCAAAAGTCACTTTATGAAAAAGACACCTACACTCGAATGTTATAGCAGCACAATTCACAATTGCAAAGCTATGGAAACAACCCAAGTGCCCATCAATTCATGAGTGGATTAATAAAATGTGGTATATGTATACCATGGAGTACTACTCAGCTTTAAGAAACAATGGTGATATAGCACCTCTTGTATATTCCTGGATAGAGCTGGAACCCATTCTACTAAGTGAAGTATCTCAAGAGTGGAAAAACAAGCACCACATGTACTCACCAGCAAATTGGTATTAACGGATCAACACCTAAGTGGACATATAGGAGTAACATTTATCGGGTGTCGGGAGGGTGGGAGGGGGGAGGAGGGATGGGTATATACAACCACAGTGAGTAAGAGGTGCAACGTTTGGGGGATGGTCACTCTTGAAGCTCTTACTCGAAGGGGGAGGGTGGCATGGGTAATATAAAAAAAAAAAAGAAAACCTTAAAGGTACACACAATTATGGCAAACTGTGAAAAACATAGTGAGTTAACCAGAAAAATAAAGTAAAATAAAATGTATATCCTTGGGGACCACAGATATAATAAATCTAAAAGAATATTTGGGGAAAGAGCCTGGAAATCTCTGGTTTTTTGTTTTTTCTTTAGACAGCATCTCACTCTGTTGCTTAGGCTAGAGTACAGTGGTGTCATCATGGCTCACTGCATCCTCAAACTCCTGGGCTCAAGTGATTCTCCTGCCTCAGCCTCCTGAGTTTCTGGGACTACAGGTGTGCACGGCCACACATGGCTAATTTTTCTATTTTTGTAGAGACAGTTTCTATTTTTGTAGAGACCAGACAATTTTTCTGTTTTTGGTCTCAATATCTTGCTCAGGCTAGCCTCAAACTCCTGGCCTAGAGCAATCCTCCTGCCTTGGCCTTCCAAAGTGCTAGGATTACAGGTGTGAGCTACCACACTTGGTTGAAATCTGTATTTTAATGAAACACCTCAGGTATCTCTTAGCTTGTGAGAATCATCATTTAAGTATTTATTGGAAAATAATGACAGACTGTGAAAGTGCTTGTAAAAACCAACAACCAAGCCAGGTGTGATGGCTCATACCCATAGTCTCAGCACTTTGGGAGGTCAAGGTAAGAGGAGTGTTTGAGGCCAGGAGTTTGAGACCAGCCTGGGCAACACAGTGAGACCCTGTTTCTACAAAAATTTAAAAATTAGCTGGGCACAATGGCACGTGTTGGTAGTCCTAGTTACCTGGGAGGCTGAGGCGGGAGCATCAGTTTAGCCCAGGAGTTTGAGGTTACATGAGCTATAATTAGGCTATTGCACTCCAGCCTGGGCAGCAGAGTAAAACCTTGTTTAAAAAAAAAAAAAAAAAGCCTAACAGCCTAACAACCAACTCCCACAGTTCAGAAGAAAGCTAATTCATAAAGGTATGTTGCTTTATGTGTTGTTAATGACAAAGATGTAGAAAAACTTTTTGTATTGTGTTTCAATTCTTGGTATAATTTTGAATCTAAAATATACCACTGTATCTTTAATAATTTCTTCACCATGCATGTTTAATCTAGATTAAATTCACTCTAGCAGTAGGCACTTTGTTTAGATTTCTGAGTATAGTTTATTATATAACTTGATATTTTTATATAAACATCTCTTTGTTTTACTCATAGGTATTAGGGGAGTATTCCTACCTCTTAGATAAGGAAACACCAGAGGAAGTTATAACCAAGCTCTACAAGTTACTTATGAATGACTCCATTTCTTCAGAAACAAAAGCCTGGTTAATTGCTGCTGTGACCAAGTTGACACCCCAAGCACGCTCTTCTAATATAGTTGAGAGATTAATCCAGGAATTTACCATTTCTTTGGATACTTGTATGCGACAGCATGCATTTGAATTAAAACATTTGCATGAGAATGTGGAACTTATGAAGAACTTGCTTCCAGTTGATAAGAGTTGCGAAGACATGGTGGTAAGACATCTGTTTCAGCTTTTTAAAAATTGCATTGTCATTCAACATAGAGTAATTCTTTTTTTTTGAGACAGAGTCTCACTCTGTTGCCCTGAGTAGAGTGCCATGGTGTGAGCCTACCAAACTCCTGGGCTCAAGCGATCCTCTTGTCTCAGGCTCCAGAGTAGCTGGGACTACAGGCGTGTGCCAAGACACTCAGCCTATTTTTTTATGTTTACTGGAGATGGGGTCTCGCTCTTGCTCAGGCTAGTCTGGAACTCCTGAGCTCAAGTGATCCTCCTGCCTTGGCCTTCCAGAGTGCTAGAATTACAGGCGTGAGCCACTGTGCCCAGACCATGGAGTAATTCTTGTATTTGTGGTATATTAGGAATGTATCAAAATATGGTTTTCGTGTTACTTAAGGTGAAAGTTGAAGTTTTTCTTACATTAGTATGACAGAGAATTTGAGACTTACTAATCAGTCCTGATTCTAAATAGGAGTAGAAGAGTATCTCTTCCAGAGAACTACAATGAATATATTTTTATCCTGTGACAAACACTTTATTATAATAATTTAGGAATTTATTTTATGTATTCTTTATTTATTGACTTAAAAAATTGATACATAATAATTATACATATTTATGCAGTACATGTGATGTTTGAGATATACATACACTGTGTAATGATCAAATCAGGATATTTAGGATATCCATCACCTCAAACATTTATCATTTCTTTGTGTTGGGAACATTTCAAATCTTCTAGCTATTTTGAAATATACAATAAATTATTAATTAAATTCACCCTACTGTGCTGTCAAACACTAGGACTTATTCCTTCTTTCTAACTATATTTCTAACCATTAACCAACCTCTTATCATCCCCACCTACCCCCCCACCAGCCTTGGGTAACCATTCTATATCTCCATGAGATCAACTATTTTAGCTCTTACTTATTAGTGAGAACGCATGATATTTGTATTTCTTTGCTTTGCTTCTTTCACTTAACATAATGACCTCCAGTTCTATCCATGTTGCCACAAGTAACAGGATTTCATCCTTTTTTATAGCTGAATGATATTCCATTATGTATATATACCACATTTTCTTTATCCATTCATCCATTGATTGACACTTAAATTGATTCCATATCTTGGCTATTATGAATAGTCCTGCAGTAAATATGAGGGTACAGGTTCCTTTTGAAATATTAATTGTTGGATCATGTGGTATTTCTATTTTTAGTTTTTTGAGAAACCTCCATACAGTTTTTCATTATGGCTGTATTAATTTACAACCAACAATATGTAAGAGTTCTCTTTTTCTGCATCCTTACCAGCATTTATTTTTGTTGTTTTGATAATAGCTATTCTCACTGGACTGAGATGATTATCTCATTGTGCTTTTGATTTGCATTTCCTTGATAATTAGTGATGTTGAGCATTTTTTCATATGTTTGTTGGCCAAGTCTTTAGAGAAATGTCTATTGAGATCTTTTGCCTACTTTTTAATGGGGTTATTTGATTTTTTGCTGTTGAGTTGAGTTCCTTGTATATTCTGGATATTAGTACCTTGTTGAATGACTAGCTTGCAAATATTTTATTCTTGCCTAATAGTTTTCCCCCCTCTCTCATCATCCCATTTGGTTTTATCATCCCATTCTCTCCTGGCCTGTAAAGTTTCTGCTGAGAAATCCATTGGTAGTCTGATGAGGATTCCCTTATATGTGACTTGCCACTTTTCTCTTGCAGATTTTAGACTTTTCTTTTTGTCTTTGACTTTTGACAGTTTGACTATACTGTGCCTCAGAGAAGACCTTTTCAGATTCAGTGTATTGGTTATCTTTGCACTTCTATCTGGATGTCTGTATCTCTTGTAAGACTTGGGAATTTTTCAGCTAGTATTTCATTAAATAGGTTTTCTTTGCCTTTATGCATTTTTTTCCTTTTGGAACTCTCCAAATTTGAATTTGTTTGATTTATGGTATCCCATATGTTACATAGGCTTTCTTCATTCATTTTTATTCTTTATTCTTTAATTTTTTTCTGACTGGGTTATTTCAAAAGACCTGTCTTCAGGTTCAGAAATTTTTTTTCTGCTTGATCTAGTCTGTTATTGAAGCTCTAGATTATATTTTTAATTTCATTCATTGAATTCTTCAGTTCCAGGATTTCTGTTTGATTCTTTTTATGATATCTACCTTTTTGTTGAATTTCTCATTCAGATCATGGATTGTTTTTATGATTTCTTTGTATTGTTTATCTGTGTTCTCTTGTATTATGAGTTTCCTTAAGATTGTTATTTTGAAAGCCTTTTCAGGTATTTCATTTGTTTCCTTCTCTTTGGGATCTACTATTGGACAATTATTGTGTTCCTCTGGAGGTGTCATGTTTCTTTGCTTTCATTTTTTTTTGTCTTTACATTGGTGTCTGCATATCTGGTATAACAGATTGGCTTTCATAGGGAAAGACTTCCTTATACATCGATTTATGGTATTGATTGAGTAGGGCACTTTGCTTTTGTTTTTTAAATTTATTTTCATTTGTATATATTCATGGAATACAGGTCCTATTTTCCTACATTGATATATTGTATTGTGGTAAAGTCAGATCCTGCAGTGTATTCATCATGGGAGCATCAAGAAACCTTCCATTATCCACTCTCCTCTTTTCCCTCCAACCGTCTGAATCTCCATTGTGCATCATTCCCCACTCTGCTTCCATATGTACACATTAATTAGCTCCCACTTACAAGTGAGAACATGCAGTATTTGTCTTTCTGTGTCTGAGTTGTTTTGCTTAAGATAATGGCCTCTAATTTTATCTGTGTTGCTGCAAAAGACATTCTTTTTTATGGCTGAATAGTATTCCATTGTGTATATATACTATATTTTCTTTATCCAGTCCTCTGTTGATGGACAGTTAGGTTGATTCCATATCTTTGCTAATGTGAATAGTGCTACAATAAACATACAAGTGCAGGTATGTTTTTTATATATTTATTTCTTTTCCTTTGGGTAGATAGCCAATAGTGGGATTGCTGGATCATATGGTAGTTTTATTTTTAGTTCCTTGAGAAATCTCCATACTGTTTTCCATAGAGGTTGCACTACTTTACATTCCCACTAGTGTAGAAAGGTTCCCTTTACTCCACGTTCTTACCAACATCTGTTATTTTTTGTCATTAATAATGGCCATTCTGATTAGTATAAGATGGTATCTCATTATGATTTTAATTTGCATTTCTCTGGTGATTAGTAATGTTGAACTTCTTTTCATGTACTTGGCCATTTGTTTGTCTTCTTTTGAAAAATGTCTGTTCATGTCCTTAGCCCACTTTTTAATGGGGTTATTTATTTCTTATTGTTGTTGAGTTCCTTGTAAATTCTGCATATTAGTCCCCTATAGGATATATAGTTTGCAAATATTTTCTTCCGTTCTACACATTGTCTGTTTACTTTGTTTGCTGTGCAGAAGCTTTAGTTTACTTAAGTCCCATTTGTCTATTTTTGTTTTGTTGCTTGTGTCTTTGAGATCTTAGTTATGAATTCTTTGCCTGGACCAGTGTCCACAAGAGTTTTCCCTAGTTTGTTTTCTTGTATTTTTATAGTTTCAGGTCTTACATTCAAGTCTTTAATCCATCTTGAGTTGATTTTTATATGTGGTGATAGATGGGGTCTAGTTTTATTCTTTTCATCTGGCAATCCAATTTTCCCAGGATTATTTATTGAAAGGGGTGTGAATAGGGTGCTTTGGCCTTGATTCTGAGTGGGAAGGAATAGTAGTGTAGTCTTTGTATTATTTCTTTGGCTGTGATTGGTGTAAGTGACGTCTGTGAGTTCCTCGGTGATTTAGGCTATGGTTATTAGTGGAAACTTTGCTGGTAATGGGACACCAGGTGGGCTGGTCTTCGGGCACCAGTGCTGTTAGTGGCAGCCTGGGTTTATCAGTCCTCAGGCCCCTGGACAGTATATGCAGGTGCCAGTGGTGGCATGTCTAGGTTCATTGGCCCCTGGGCCTTCAAGTGGCATCCTGGGTTCTAGCAGTGTCAGCAGTGGGCTGGGCACTAGTTAACTTTTATTAAGAATTCATTTCCTTCTTCTGTGTTTTGTAAAAAGAAAAGAAGAAATTAAAAATTAATAAATATAAATAAAAAAATCAAATATTAAAAAAAAAAAAGAATTCATGAATCAGGCATCATCCCATTAGGATTATTTCATACTTTTCCCCCTGATTTGTGTTAGCTTATAGGTTTGTTATAAACTATTTTACAAAGGATACAAATGAAGAGGTGCATAGGGTGAGGTATGAGGGAAGGGGCACAGAGCTTTCATGCCTACCGTGGACATGTCACCAGCCAGGAACCTCCATGTGTTAGGCTATCTTATTATTGTCTACTTTGAAATTCTATAATATAAGTCATGTTATTTCTACCCTGTTTTCTTTTAGAATGTAAAAAAAAGGTACTTGTTTTTATTTTGTCCATCTACTATCTAAATTCTTTACCATTTTGGAACCTGATCACCCACCTTTTCATCTTCCACCTACTTTCAGCCACCACTCATTTTAACCTAACATTCTCAGTTAACCCACACTTTCTTTAATTCATCCCATTCTCTCCTCAAATTGGTATAAATTACAAAACTTCCAAAGGCAAACAGATGTATTTCAATTTTTAAGTGTCGTATCATGTTTTTGAGAAAAAGAAGAGGATGGGCAATATTCACAGTAATTTTCACTCTAGTTTCCATGGGTTGTGTTCATTTGAAACATTTCTTCATTAGTTCTTTCTGTAGTCCTTCAAGGGCAGAGGCTTTGCTTTAGTATTCGGTGGGGATTCCAGAGATATTTATTGAAATGACTAGTGATTATATTGTACATAATATTACACTAGGGTGTAACTATACTTTCCTTTTCCCCTTAACAAAGGATAATGATAATGACATAGCCCCATCTCTTAAGAATCTTATTCAAGCTAAACCTTTCCAAATTCAGAGGATGAGGTTTCACTTATATGTTTGAGAATTACCTGCCATTCTAAATTATTTGAGGTGTTTTATACACTTGGGTAAATCAAGAGAAGCAAATCTTTGGTTTCTGAAGGTCATCACTGCTCTGTTCTCTTGTGTATCTGTAATTATTGTTTCTCTCACTTTTCATCTTCTCCTTTCCTCCTCACTCTTTCTTTATCTCATATCATTTCTTCATTGTTTTACTTAATCATTCTCTTGTACCTTTCCATTGCTGCTGAAATTAAGTAATTTTTTTCATAGATATGTTAAAAAGCACTTTTGGGTAGAAGGGAATAGGATAGTTAAATCTGCTACTGTGGGAGGCTGAATAATGGTCCTTCAAAGATGATCACATTTTAATCCCTGGAATCTGTGCATGTGTTACCTTAAATATTAAAGGGGACTTTGTAGTTGTGATGACTTTAAATGTTTGTGATGGGGTGATTACCCTAGATTATTTAGATAGGCTTTATATAATTACAAGGGTCCTTATAAATGTGAGGCAAGAGGTCAGAGAGAAGGCAAAGTAACTATGAAAGCAGAGATTGACTGTTGTGGCCACAAACCAAGGAATGCTGGTAGTCTCTAAAAGCTGGCAGAGACAAGGAACAGATTCTTCCTTGGCACATCTTGAAGAAATCAGCCCCGCAAACCCCTTGATTTTAGTCCCCTGCAGCAGGAAACCAATATAGTCATAATACCTTATAGTATGTATTTCTGCCTCTTCTGGTACGTTACAATTCTTCTCAGAGTGGGAACTATGTCTCTTTTTTGTCTCAATCATAGCACCTAACGGGATGCCCTAATAGATAGATGCTCAAAAATATATTGTACAATGCAATTACATGAATAACTGCAAATGATTTACATTGTTAGATTCTTAACCAGATGATCTGATTATAGATGTTTCAGAAAGCTGGAGAGTTGGATAGCATTTTTAGAATGAAAGCTCTGTTTTTTACTGGAAAAATTTTTAAGGATGTATAGACTAAAATTATGTGAATGTACAATCTACTGATTAGGATAAATTTTTTTAATTCCTAATTTTGCTTAATTTAAAAAAAGGTAGATGCTTCCTTATCTTTCCTGGATGGTTTTGTGGCTGAAGGACTCAGTCAAGGGGCAGCACCTTACAAACCCCACCACCAACGCCAGGAGGAGAAGCTTTCTCAGGAAAAAGGTAATTTTTCATAGGTTTATTGTAAGCTAAATTGTAGAGACTTTTTTTTATGCAATTGATATTAAATCATTAAGTCAATAACTAAAGAAATTTACTTTTTATTATCCCTCCTTAAATACTTATGATTTTTTGTACTCTGTCTAGGTTTTCAGACACCCGGAACAAAAAAGTTAGCCTAGTGTTAATCCCAAATTCATAGATACCATATACGTAAATGCCTAACATATAGCAGCCATCCTGGAATTTTGAAAGAACTTGAAGGTGGAATTGTCATGTTGGTCACTGTACTAGTAGGGTGACACATATTAGTATGGGAAAGTTTCAGAAAACAATCCTGGTTGTTATTGACTAGTGAGTTTCATTTTCATTCTGAGCAGTCTAATATTTCTTAAGCGTATTAGAATGCTTTCTTCAACAAAATATCTGATCAGTTAAGTTATGAACAGCTAAGAAAGGAAAGAATAACTCTATACTTAAGAAATTCAGGCCGGGTACGGTGGCTCACTCCTGTAATCCTAGCACTCTGGGAGGCCGAGGCGGGTGGATTGCTCAAGGTCGGGAGTTCGAAACCAGCCTGAGCGAGACCCCCGTCTCTACTATAAATAGGAAGAAATTAATTGACCAACTAAAAATATATATAGAAAAAATTAGCCGAGCATGGTGGCGCATGCCTGTAGTCCCAGCTACTCGGGAGGCTGAGGTAGTAGGATCGCTTGAGCCCAGGAGATTGAGGTTGCTGTGAGCTAGGCTGATGCCACTGCACTCACTCTAGCCTGGGCAACAAAGTGATACTCTGTCTCCAAAAAAAAAAAAGAGAAAAAGAAATTCAGCCTGTCAGGCAAAGTCCTCTGTCATGATTTTGGTAAAGGCGAAATCATTGAGTTACTTACATGGCAACTGGGAAGTATGCATATGAATAAAGGGAGACCAACAAATATTATCTGCTTCTGAGTTCAGAATGTCAATATTAAAAAGTTTATCTACCTGAGCAAGAACGAGACCCCATCTCTACTAAAAAATAGAAAAAATTAGCTGGGCATGGTGGCGCATGCCTGTAGTCCCAGGTACTTGGGAGGCTGAGGTGGGAAGATTGCCTGAGCCCAGGAGTTTGAGGTTGCTGAGAGCGAGGCTGACGCCACACCACTCTAACCAGGTAGATGCTATGGCACTCTACCCCAGGCAACAGAGTGAGCCTCTGTTTCAAAATAAATAAAATAAATAAATAAATAAATAAATACATAAATAAATACATAAATAAATAAAAGTAAAAAGTTCAATGCTGAAAGGGCTTTTTTTCCCTATTAATTATTCAATAATTTTGTTGAGTATTTTTGAGGCTCTGTACTACCATATTTAGTTAAGAGTATAACTAAACAGTTGATTCTAGAATGAGACCAGAAAGTTAAAAACTCTAATGATATCTTCTTTGCAAAAGTATTTATTCTTTTAAGTCTTTTTAATTTTAATTTTTAAATTTTTTGATTGTATTTTATCGTGGTAGGAACCTTACCATGAGATCTACCCTCTTAAATTTTTAAGTATAAAATACATTACTGTTGATTATAGATATTAATACAGTGTTATACAGTAGATCTTATTCATCATCTTGCTTAACTGAAACTTTATGCCCATTATTGGTAACTGCCCATTTTCCCCTCCCCTTATCCCCTGGCAACCACCATTTCACTCTTTGAGTCTATTAATATGAATTTGACTTTTTAGATAGCTCTTGTAAATGGAACCACGCTGTATTTTTTTTCTTTCTGTGACTGCCTTATTTCACTTAGCATAATATCCTTAAGGTTCATTCATGTTTTTGCATATTACAGAATTTCCTTCTTTTTCAAGGCTAAATAGTGTTCTGTTACATGTATGTATCATATTTTCTTTATCTGTTCATCCTTAAATAGACATTTAGGTTGTTTTCACATCTTGGCTATTGTGAATAATGCTATAGTGAACATAGGGGTGCTAATATCTCTTCAAGGTCCTGATTTTGGTTCCTTTGGATAAATACCCAGAAGTGGGATTGCTGGATCATATAGTAGTTCTATTTTTAATTTTTTGAGAAACCTCCATACTGTTTACCCTAGTGGCTTAACCATTTTGCATTCCCACCAGTAGTGGGCAAGGGTTCTAGTTTCTCCACATTCTTGCCAACACTTGCTGTCTTTTCTTTTTTTGATAATAGCCATCCTGACAGGTGTGAGGTGATATCTCATTATGGTGTTGATTTGCATTTTCTTGATGTTTTGTGACCTTGAGCATTCTTTTTAGCTACCTGTTGGCCATTTGTATGTCTTCTTTGGAGAAATGTTATTCGAGTTCTTAGCTTGTCTTTTAATCACATTATTAGGGTTTTTTTTTTTTTTTTTTCTATTGAGTCAAAGGAATAACATAGTTTGGAGATTAACCTTTATCAGATGTGTGGTTTGCAAATATTTTCTCCCTTTCCGTAGGTTGCCTTTTCACTCTGTTGGGTGTTTCTTTTCCTGTGCAGAAGATTTTTAGTTTGATGTATTATCACTTGTTTATTTTTGTTACTGTTGCCTGTGCTTTTGACATCATATCCATGAAGTCACGGTGCATACCAGTGTCTTTATGAAGCCTTTCTCCTATGTTTTCGTCAAGGAATTTTATAGTTTCAGGTCTTACATTTAATTCTTTAATCCATTTTGAGTTGATTTTTGTGTACGGTGTAAGACAGAGGTCCAATTTTATTCTTTTGTATGTGGATCTTTAGTGTTAGCAACACCATTTATTGAAGAGACTGTCCTTTCCCTATCATGTAATCATGGCATCCCAGCTGAAGATCAGTTGACCATAAATGAGTGGATTTATTTCTTGGCTCTCCAATCTGTTCTATTAGTCTATATGTCTGTCTTTATGCTAGTACCATGCTGGTACTTTTGTTTATTTGTTGAGACAGAGTTTAGCTTTGTCACCCTGCGTAGAGTGCAATGGCATCATCATAGTTCACTGCAACCTCAAATAACTGCGCTCAAGTGTATCTCCAGCCTCAGCCTCCCGAGTAGCTGGTACTACAGGTGCATACCATGACACCTGGCTAATTTTTCTATTTTTTGTAGAGACAGGGTCTCAGTCTTGCTCAGACTGGTCTTGAACTCCTGAGCTCAAGCAGTCCTCCCGCTTCAGCCTCCCAGAGTGCTAGGATTATAGGTGTGAGCCACTTCCCCCAGCCCATACTGTTTTGATTATTGTAGCTTTGAAATCAGGAAGTGTGATGCTTCCATCTTTATTCTTCTTTCTCAAGATTTATTTGGCTATTCATGGTTTTTTGTGGCTCTTCACTGGTGAATTCTAGCAAACATTTAAATTAATGTGATCTTTATCAAACTCTTCCAAAAACTTAAAAAGGAGAGAACACTTCTGGACTCATTTTATAAGGCCAGCATTACTGTGATACCAAAGCCAAACAAAGATACCACAAAAAGGGAAAACTGCAGGCTAATATCCCTGATTGAATATAGATGTAGAGATGTCAACAGAATACTAGGAAACCAAACCCAACAACAAAGTAAAAAGATCATATACCACAGTCAAGTCAAGTCAAGTCAAGTCAAGTCAAGTCAAGTCAAGTCAAGTGTGGTTTATTCCAGGGATGCAAGTATGTTCAATGTATGAAAATGAATTAATGTGATATAACATATTAACAGAATAAAGGATAAAAATCACATGATTCTCACAATAGATGCAGAAAAAACATTTGAAAAAAACTGAGCATCATTTCCTGATAAAAACTCTGAAAAAACTAGGAATAGAAGGAAATACCTAAATATAATAAAGACCATATATAGAAAAGCCCACAGCTAACATCATAACTTTGTATGATAAAAAACTGAAATCTTTTCCTTTAAGATCAAGGACAGAGATACCCATTCTTTCCATTTCTAGTCAACATAATAACTGGAAGCCCTGGCCAGAGCAATTAAGCAAGAAAAAGAAAGAAAAGGCATTCAAATTGGAAAGGAAGAAGTAAAATTGTCCGTCTTTGCAAACAATATGGTCCTATATATAGAAAAAACCTAAAGACTCCATTTAAAAAATCTCTTAGAACTAATAAACATATTTAATAAAGTTGCAGGATACAAAACCAACATACAAAAATCAGTTGCATTTCAATGCACTAAATGAACTATTTGAAAAGGAAATTAGGAGAACAGCCCCATTTACAATAGTGTGCCAAAAAATAAAATAAAATAAAATACCTAAGAATAAAACTTAACTAAGGAGGTGAAAAACTTGTATATTGAATACTACAAAGTATTAATAAAAGAAATCAAATAAGACACAAATGGGAAGATAACCTGTGTTCATGGATTAGAAGACTCATGTTAATAAAATGTCCATATATCCCAAAGCAATCTACAGATTCATTATGATTCCTATTTAAAAAGGCTTTTGATATGTTATTTAGCACAGTGATACCTAATGATTTTGAAAATTAAGTTCTCTTTCAAAGTATAACCAATTTCTTCTCCATTAACGCCTTTATATATATATATATATATATATATATTTTTTTTTTTTTTTTGAGACAGAGCCTTGCTCTGTCACCCCAGCTACAGTGCAGTGGCATCATCATAGCTCACTGCAACCTCAAACTCCTGGATTCAAGTGATCCTCTTGCCACAGGTTTCTGAGTACCTGGGACTACAGGCATGCACCATCACACTTGGCTAATTTTTTCTGTTTTTTGTAGAGATGGGGTCTTGCTCTTGCTTAAGCTGGTCTTGAACTCCTGATCTCCAGTGATCCTCCCACCTTGGCCTCCCAGAGTGCTAGGATTGCATGCATGAGCCACCTACCGTGCCTGGCCTAACTCCTTATATGTTGATAGAATATGTTGGAGGGGAAAAAGTAAAGTTTTGAATTACAAATTGCCCGAATTGTGCCTATACTGCATATAAAGGCCTTTATACATCCAGGGCACGGAGTGAAAATCTCCTGAAGTTCCACATTGGGATACCTGGTCCAGT